CTGGAGCTCCCGCGGGCTGGCAGGATCTGAAATCCAGGGCGGGCAGGCAGCGGATCCAAACGCTTCCCTCCTCCGTCTGGATGCTGTCTCAGAGTCTAGTCAGCGCATCTGATCGGGCAGTGTACACTGCCTTTCCACCTCGCTGCCGTGCCCCTTTGAAGTAGTCCAGTGTTCAACACTGCTGAGCTGGGAAATCATGGAAAGCCCTCGCTCGCTGCGCCCTCTTTGTGGCTGAGGATGCCAAAGGGGAGCAGCAGCTGTGGGACAATCCCTGGTTGTCTTTGCAAAGCCCTCGGATTGTGCAGCCATGTGGCCAGCTGGCAGCAGGGCTCCTCCTGTTCCCCTTGGTGTTACTGGGCTGCCTGTGTTTAATTGATCTGATTTCTGATGGTAAATAAGCTATTCCTCATTCCTTTGAAGCTCAGCACAGTGCTGAGAGCAACAGCAGCTCCTCCTAAATGAGGGGGGTTGCTCTGGTTTTGAGTCTGATGGATCACAACATCCCATAAAAAGGGATCCCTGCTTTCCATCAATGTCACTGTGAGGGTTTTGATCCATTTTTGGTGCACACAACTGTCCCGGGGCACTGTGGGCTTTGGGTTTGAGTAGGGATGTGTCAGGAAAGCTCTGTAAATCATGTGCCTGATTATGGTGAGTGCACACATCCATATGTTACTTTATTTAAGGAGCTAAGCTTCACAGACTCAGTTATCAAGCTGCCAGTTCTTAATTTGATTGCCTTAATTAACTTTGCAATTGGAGTAATGGTAAATAACATTTTTAACCTGCTGTACTTGATGTAATAATGTCTCAGAGAGGGAGGGAAGAAACTGCTGTTGCCTTACATATGGGGGCTGAACTTGTGGATGAAATCTCCCAGGGCCCCTGGTACTCAAATCCCTCATGAAAATATGGGATATTGTGCTCTGAGGCTTTACAGTACCTGGTCTTTCTAGGCCTGGGGAGAGGTGGGGAAGGCAAACATTCCCCTGTGCTTTCCTGCAGGGAAAACACTCCTTGGTATTCACACTTGAGCAGTAAAGAGATGGGTTTGGTACTTATCAGTGAGCACAGCTGAGAACTTGGGATGCTGTCACAAGCTGGATTGGGGTTTATGAGTCCAAGGCTCAAATGTGGGGATTGGAGGGGCCAGAGAGGTTGAAAAGGCACTTGGAATGTTGATGGGTACCACACACTCCAACAGGGAGAATGTTGTTAATTGGGAACAAATTCCAGCCTTCAGCATCAGCCAGTCCTGTTGGATTCAGGGGTTTGGGCCTGATTATGTTTGGGTTGGGTCTGCTGGGGGCCTTGCTCAGTGCTGTGCAGTTGTTTCAGAGGGGGTAGTATGCTAACCCCTGGGAAATGATGGATCATTTGGCTCAGAATGGGATTGGAAGTGCAAGAGGGCGAGAAGAGCTTTGGATTGTAGTTAAAGTGTGTGCTTGCAGCCAAGTTCATGCGAGCCAAGAAGTTGCTTTTCCACTCTCATGTTTTAAGATGGCCTGAGATGGGCCAGGAATCTACAGGCAGGGACATGGTATGGTTTGAAATCCTTAACCAGAGCAGAGGAAAACATCTGCCTGGTTTAGTCTTTGTCCTGTTTGAGGGCTGTGGTGGACTCCCATCTCTCCTTGTGTTCTAGGAAATGTTGAACCTGACCTTTTCCTAATAACATTTTACATATGGATTTCCTGTAAGGTTTGAAAGGCTGGGCTGGATTTGAGAGGTCTAGGTGAGGTACCAGAGCACCCAAGTGCAATGATTTTCTTTCAGCACCTGAGTTTGGACAGACAAACCTCTTTGCTGCTCTGTTTCGACCTCTCTGTGCTGGGGTGGCGGGCAGAGGCGTTTCAAACACACCTTAATGGGAGCTGCTGCAGGCAGAGAACATCTTCTTTGGGTGAATTCCTGACCTGAGCCCTTTCTGCCTGGAAAATGAAGATAAAATCTTGTACTGGGGGAAATCACTTGGAGATGTATCTAATGAAGCACAAACAGTGGCAGTACTGTCTAGGCATGCTATTTCTGCTCTGAGGAAGAGCTGGACTTAGAGGTTTCATAGCAATGTAGCCTAAAGCTTGTGGGTACAACTAAAGGGGTTTCAGTTTGGGTTTATTGCAGAACTCAGGTTCTTTGTGTGTTTTGTTAGAGTCCAGCTGGCCATGTAGTGGAACAAGGGCTTCTGTAAGGCAGAGGTACTTGACACTCAGCTGTTTGGAAATATTTCTGTTCCTCATCTTGAGGAATTTCTTTGATGCATTGCCAGGATTACAGTTGAGTCACTGGGTCCTTATCAGCCTCTGTAAGTGGAGAAGGTGCAGCTTTGTCAGAAGGAGACTGGGGAGGGACTGGAACCAGGCTCTTTCATTCCCAAGTGGGATGATTTGCCAAAAGTCACTGATTTCCCTCTGTAATCTCTGTGCAGTTCATGGCTTTCATTTCGCTGCTGCCTAAGTACTTGCTCCAGAGTGCAGCTAATAATTCCCTTGTATTTTACAAAGTAAACAGGCTCAGATTAATGGGCTAATAAAAGCTTTGCTAGGCT